TAATATTTAAAGTGTACGTTGCTTGGATATCAGATCGTTTGTAGATAACAAGAGAATCGTTTTGAATTCTTGAAGTAGAGCTAAACGAAAAGCAGAAGTTATTTATCAGAGTAGAACTTGCCATCACAAGATTTGCAAGTTTGGGTGGGCAAATACTTACAAATACTATAGTAAGTACATTTATAGATTTTGATAGGCGCGTTCTTCTGTTTAAAAAAATGGATTACTTGGTTGGTTTTTCTATGAGTCAGTGTTTTGGAATAAAAAACACCGGCGCAACAGTTTCATCTTTTACAGTATGTCAACATTTAGAATGTTTTAATGTTTGTTTCGTGCGCTCAACGACAACTCTTCCAGAGCCCACTGGAATGGGTCAACGGCTTTAATTTCGTAACAAACTGCTTTTCTGCGAACGTTTAAAAAATAACAAACGGCCGTTTTACGGATCACAACCTTGCGTGTTGACTGTCAACCCTTGGACAAAGCAAAAAAGAAGAGTAATTACTATACTATTCCCGCATTACATTTTCGCAAAACAAACCTATCTTGATTGTGTGAAGCAGCAAGATAAACGAGCGCGAACTTACTAAAGGGGGGAAAAGAAGTCGAGAGCATATCGTTTCTAGGAAATAATGGACGCCTGCACGCRGGCTAATGTTTTCCAAGTTTCAGACAGACAGAGAGGAGGTATTTAGTTAATATAGTTTCGTTTAGCCTATCATCCTTTTATCGCAGCTGGCACCTCCGCCCTCCTGCCGTTTAGGATACCAGTGTTCACCTTAATCCGTCTAATTTGTCGTTGTCCCATAAAGTAGGGACGAAAATGTCACAGGACGTCCCAGAAGAGAAAATCTGAATGTTAGCTTTGTTGTTTTTCCAAAGATGCAGTTGTTATTAATAATCTGAATAAGTGGAAAATTATAAATAAATTCTATTTAAAATGTTTGTAACTATTGTCATCAACGACTTTTTTACCTTGTATGTGGAATGTATCGAATCAATGTGACAGTGGCGGATCCAGACTTTGAGCTAAGTAGGGGAGGGGGAGGGGAGCAGTTTTCTTTTTTTGCCTGTCC